AAACGGGACAGAAGAAAAAAGAAAGATGAATGGTGGGGTAGAAAAAACACAAGAGACACAATCAGAAGAGATGAGTTAAGAAGGGAAGGGGAGACGAAGGCAAAGAAAGAGAGAAGAAAAGCACTGAGCAGAAAGGAAGGACAGGGAAGACAAGGAACAAGAAGGAACAAAAAGGGTTCTGAAAAGATAAGATCAGGCAAAAGGAATATAGGGACAAGACAAGATGAGAAAAGAAAGAAAGGATTGAGATGAAAAAATGAACTACTGGGGAACACTGTCACTAGTTCCTTACTCTAAAACAACCTCACTTTATTTCATTCTTTACTAACAAAGAATGCAAAGTTAAATTTATTTGAGAAAAACACATTTTTTAAAAAAGCAAGAAACAGCTGTTGAATGAGTCAGATGAGACTATTTGGAGATATGTGCTATTAAGAATTAAAGCCATTATTACTTATACATTCCATGTTGAGTGATTCTATTATAGTCAATGAGGTGGAAGATGCCACTTTTTAGTGCTTTGAAAACTGCCTTTTCTTACCCAAGTGAGTAATTCTTATAAAACCAAAGAAGCAACCTGATGACAAATAGAGAACTAAAACCCTTTGAAATAAAAATTTGACAACAGAAGTGGAAACAATTAGTTTCCCAGTGATACTCTGGGGAGATCTTAGTTAACATTATTTCATGGTACCCTCAATGAGAAGTGATCACAGAGAATTTCAGAGTAGAATGTGACAAGCTAGCAATCATGTAGTCCAAACACTTCCCCATGCAGTTAAAAACCTGAGAGGCCAATGGAATGTGAGCACTTGTCCAAAATCACAACTAACTCAGATATGTTAATATTCAATTTTTCAAATAATTAATGAACATATACAATATCTGATGATTTTCTTCAGAGAATATGAAGAAAATACAAAGTGAATGAACCTGATCCATTACTTTCTGTTTGTACTTAATGATAACTGGGAACCCAACAGTGAACTTCCTGAGGTTCAGAAACAGTATCTTGTTATCTTCATATCCTGAGAGTATAACACATTGCTTCATGCACAACTGCCAATATGTCTATGTAATGAATGGATGGATAGATTGCAAACACAGCTATAACCTTTAGCTATCATGACTGCACAGCTTTTGTAAAAATTCTTTCAAATGGGCCACTGACAGTAACATGGAGACTACACCTGACCCTCTGCCATACTCAAGAGGCTGACCAGTACTACCTTTACTATTTTACCTTCCCAAGGGATGGGCACAATCTACGAATCACTTGATAGATAGCTCAAAAGATAACTGTCATTGTGCCTTTAGGGGACATCTGGCCTCACTTCTAAGGACTTTGTGAAAATAAAACAAAATATAAACTGGGTAGTAATTAGATATCCCCAGAGGAAAATGCTCCTCCTATCATTCATGATCATGCTATTGAAGAACTTCCCAACATAAATGTGCCCAACGGGGCAGAAAATTCCTTATATTTAGATCATCTCTCCAACGCAGGCTTATCTTCCTCACAGCATCATAACTGCTGAAAACACCTTTTGCCTCCCTGATCCCATACTCCTATCTTCTGTGTATAGCCTCCTAACTCCTTAATAAACCCTCCTCCCCAAGCCTCATGCCAACGTGCTCCCATATATAGCCTTTCCACTGGAGTTGCCCACTTTCCCAGCTCCTGTATCACTACCTCACAGTGCTCAGCCTCCAAGGACTAGCAGTGCCTATCGCTGTGGGAACGCTACTCACCCTTGTGAGCTGTGATAGATACCTCAAAACAGTGTCAATGCCCACTGGACCACCTCCGTAGGAAGGAGGGTCCACCTGAAGGCTCCAGCACATTTTCTCAGAGAAGCGTTGATGGAATTACTTTTTGATGAACCTTAGGTGTTATCTATACAAAATTTAACTTATCTGTATAAAATAGTATCCTTAAAATCAATAACCAATATTTAGAACTACTGTATTTTGCCATGTATAATGCGCACCCATGTTTTTGTGCACATTATACACAAGACTATTATACCCATTATTATGCCCATGGTATGTTATCATTATCCCCATGTATAATGCACATCCTCATTTTTACCCTCAAAATATTGGCCAAAAATATGCACATTATACATAGCAAAATACAGTATATTTCCATGGGGGGTTGACTAGGAGGGAATGTGTTCTGATTTTCAAATGATAAATTCTAAACCAACTAAATTCTAAAATACATTCTATTTCCAGATTAGGAATAATTAAATGAACAAAAGTATATTTCAAAGTTAACAGTAACTTTGTGTTTAATAAACTCTGGGAATTGTGAAGCATCTCTGGAGCACTGATATCTTGTAAGTTACAGAGGGACAGACATGCAAACTTGCCTAACTTGCTAAACAAGTCCAACTTGTAATTTTACAAATAATTTATTAAATTAGCCTAAGTAGAGTCTTTTCAAAAGGTCTCCACCAACCAGATTTATGTTATGGAAGAGACCTGCTTTACTGGGGTCAAATTTTCATCACAAGATTTTATGCATTTAAAGTACAATATAACACCCTGGAAACTCATTATTGAATAATGTAATTGAATGGGAAACAGGTATTTGAGTTGTTGGAGGGTAAGTGATGGTCAAGAAAATACTTAATGTAAGAACCTCCACCATAAACTATAAGGGGCAATGGTACCTGGAAGGGATATAAAAGCAATAATATTAACCCATCCCAAAGAGTTTATTCAGTTTTAGTTAAAGTAATCATCTCCAGAGAGTAATCACAGGAGACATCACTGAGTCAGCTCCCAAGGTGCGGTTTGCATCTGCCCAATCCCTTCCAGCAACTGTTCAACTGGTGATGCTTCCCACAATACACTCTGAACATCTGCGGTCTAGAATGTGCCAGCTGTAAAGCAGGATCCACCCAGCCCCTCAGGCAGGCTCTGCAGGGTGCAGTCAGCACCCCTAATAGGTGTGTACACCACGTGTGACCTGAGCCCAAAAGCAAAGAGGGGGGTGGAATTTGGAACTGGAATGTGTGGGGGCTTCTATCACTCTGGGAACTGTAGGAAAACTGGGAGAAAACAAACAAAACAAAGGACACTCCCCAAACTCCTCTTTCATCCTGTTTCACACCATTGCCATTCTTTAGTTTGAAAAAACAAAAAGATCAGCTTTCCCTCACAAGTTTCTTCCATCATTATCCTATTGCTTGTCAGGACTGATTCAGCCTCAGTCATGGATTTCCCTGGGGCCCTTCCATTTGTTGGGTATGAGAAAGAAAAAAGGGAGGTGCCTGTCAGTAAGTAACCTGGCAAAATGTCTATTAAGTAGGAATCTGGAAATGAGCTGTTGAACATCAGAGCCTAGCCAAGACTGCCTGCCACCAGCATGGCTTTTTCTTAGTGTTCTGGCCTCCGTGGTTCTCATACCCACGTTCAAGTCAGAGACCCTATAACCTCACCGCTCCACGCATAGTCAACATGCTATCCTGCGTTGCCATAGCCGACAGAGGTGTCCAACCCGCCAGCCACATGAGGCCCAACACAAAATTGTAAATTTACTTAAAATCATTTTTTGTTTTGTTTTTTTTTTCTTGGCTCATCACTTTTCTTTAGTGTTTGTGTATTTAATGTATGGCCCAAGACAACCCTTCTTCCAGTGACCCAGAGACGCCAAAAGTTTGGACACCCTAAAGCATTATTGTCTCTTTACAGATCCATGATTTCAACAACTAACACATGCACATGGTCTGCCTCCTCACTCACTTTATATAGGTAATAATTCTCCCAACATGTCACAAAGAATAAGACTAAAGTTTCCAGGTACTTTTCCAGGAGCGCTCTCCTCTAGTCACATGTATGTCTAAGGTCACTACAACCTAGAACAGCGGTTCTCAAAATCAGATACCGTATATACCAGAACCACCTGGCGAGCTAATGAAGGACACTGACCCAGGCTTGCTTAGGCCAATTCAAGTTTGGAAAGCACGGTCCTCCACATTTCTGGAGGCAGAAGCGGGACTGGATACAAATAAAAAAGAGATTTTTCTCAAGAAAAACTTTTCCTTTTCCAGTCGTGCCCCTCACACGAGATCTAAAGAACACCCCACAGCTCTGCAGCCTAAGCCTCCTACCTTTATCTGTACTTCCTACCCTCCACCCCCTATACTCAAGCTTCTCCATTTCCACCCTTCACTTCCTTCCACAAGGCGCTTCCCAGCCCTCCTCCACCAATTCTTCTCCCAGATCCTCAGCAGTCCCTTAAAAAGACGGGGGAAACGAATCCAGCGTCTACGGTGGCCGGCGCCTGTCCCAGGGGAAACCAAACCGACGCTCGCTGAGACCTAACTTCTTCCCAAACATCCCAACTCCCTCTCACGTCCGCAACAAGGAAAGAAAAGTAGACAAGGCAGGGGAAACAGGACACGCTGCACTCCCACGACCTTCGTTCCCGCGCGCGCTAGGGGAAAGGGTCCCTTCCCTTCCCCTCTGCGGCACCGACCCAAGATGGGAACAGTCCCGACCCTCTTCCGTGGGCCCCTGCCGTCCGCCCCCTTTCGCCCCCCAGCCTCCCAACGCCGACGCCTGGAGGGAAGCCAGGAGCTCCACTTACCGCCAGGAGCGCCGGGAGCCGCGCGCAGCCGCGCCCGCCGCCGACGGTTTGCGGCCCAGGAAGCAGCGAGCGCGAGGGAGGGGAGAGGAGGTACCTGCCGAGCGTCAGGTCGGCGGAGCGAAGCTCAGTCCGGCCCGCACCGCGCCCCGCGCCCCCGGGGCTAGGTGCAGAGCTGAGCGAGGGCGGGTGTGAGGACCAGTTACAACAAGTCCGAAGTCGTGTCACACCAAACTCCGTGCAGCCAAGAAAGTGCCTCGGAACCTGTCTGAACTCAAAATCCCAACCCTCTACAAGCAAAGTATAAGCTTTTTTTGCTGTCGGGCCTCGAATCTACCCAACAATTACAAGTCCCCACATCTCGGCCAGGGCCGCAGAGACCTAGGAGGATAATGGAGCTCACCTGGGAAGGGGGTAGACCTCGCGGAGTAGGGATACGTTCCCATTCCCCGCCCTTCCTTGGCTCCAGAATGCTCCGACGGGAGGCCCTGGGGGCTGCAGGGTGAGAGCCCGAGTTGCACCACCCTTGAGAGAGTGGGGCAGATCCAGCCCACAGTTGACAATTCCAGTCAGCAGCCAGCAATGCAGACCCCTACCCAACCACCTGAGTGTTTCCAGGCTTAGAAGTGGAAATATGGAAGAAAAAGTGCTTGTGCATTTTACTTTTTTATCTGAAAGAATTTCAAGTATCATTAAAGATTCGGTTCCGACTTAGGACCGCCCTGGTAACTGACTTGGAATGAAAAAATGCTGTTTTAAGTACAAACGCCTGAGTGATAAGCAGGTCACTCTAGGTGAGGATTTGGTTTGAATAAATAAAAGTTATAAAATTTATTTTTATTTGTCTACATCTCAGTAGATCAGTTAATTGTTTCTAGTGATTGCATACCCATATAGTCTTTAAGATGTAGCCATTAGCAGCAAATGGTAAAAATGCAGCCTCCAACTGAAGTAATGAAAGGGTAATAAAAAGCATATTTTAAGGTTCCAGAATAATATGTAAATTATCATAAAGTGAAACCGACCTTAAAAATGACTTTTCTATTTTGCTCTGAATGAAACACTTGGGGAAATGCTAAACTATTGGGATTTGAATTAAGTCTTGACTAATGAGGAAACGTTGATGGGATAGTGAAAATTGCATATTCTTGAAACAGAGCAAAGGCCAAAGGCTGACAGTAAAAGCAACTTCCAGAACAATACAAAACTAAGCTTCCAGATTGTGGGCATCTGTGACCTATTGTTTTTTGTTTTTGTTTTTGTTTTTTCCTTCAACAGCATATAGGGAATTGTTTTGTACATATTTTAAAAAATTTTTATGTTCCTGCTAATTTCCATGCTTTGCCTTTTAATATTTTTGCAATTCTGATCTTACTTTTGACATGCTGTTGTCTGACTCACTCAATGCAAGTTCTCTTTGTGGTACTTTATTTGTTGGTATGCTTTTTCAGTGTTCAAAAATAATTCTGAATGTTTCTTAAAGGAGCAATATTTATGAGCATTTTGAGACTACATTCATAAATATACACCTATAAAAACAGCAAGAATATTTAGACTCAACAAATTAAAATGGGCCCATGGGAAATCTAATTTTATTAATATGCATTTATACATAAATAAGGGAAATCACAAAGACGGATATCTACTACAGTCTTAACTATTCAAAGCAAGTAAAAGAGAAGAAAATGCAAATGAAGAGGGAGAATTCATTCACTAGTGGGATAGGAAAATATATAAAATTGACATGACTCTGTAAGGAACCTACAAGCAAGGGAAGGAGAGAGAACATGTGCACCAAAAAAGGGAGTTGATTAGTACAAGCCAGTGTGAGGAACTTTAAGTGGAAAGGACTCAAGTGCTTTGGAAGGTAAGGGGAAGAAATGATTAACTGCTTAGATCATTGGAGTACGGTGACAGAACTTCAAGAACTGTTAGAATTTGAATTGGGTCCTGACAGATGAGCAGACTTGACAGGAGTCTGAAACTGACATATGACAATATGTTCAACATGCAGAGTAAAGGCTGGGCTGTAAGAAAGTTCCAGGACCATATGAATCAATTGACAGATTTGGCCATGGGCGTGGCATGGCTGTGTTGGAAGGTAAGTTTAGGAATAAAGTTTTGAGTCATTTTCTCACCTACAGAATGAGGTCAGTATTATTTACCACTTAGGATTGTTACGACAGTTATATGAATTTGAAATAGTTTATGTAAAACCTTTATCATACCACTTGCTATATGGTAAGACCACAATGAGTGGCCACTATAATTATACTGGGGGTCAGATTGTGAAAAGCCCTGACTACAAAGTGAAGAATGTAGACTTGGGTCTATCGGTGTTGTGATATCATGACCCATTTAACAGTTGGTGATCTTTAGTTCAAATTCTCGGAAGTCAGGCAGAGCTGTTCGGCCCAGCTGTGAGACGAGAAGGGTGACAAGGATGGAAGTAATGAAAATGGAAAGGGGGAGACCAATCTGAGAGCCAATGAGAGTGAAAATCAATATCATTTGGGGTCAGATTGGATGTGGAAGTTAAAGGGAAAGAAATAAGAAATAAACTGCTAGAAGTTATCAGTGGAAGGAAGGAAAGGGTACAATAGTCATATGTGTGAAAAGTAGAAAAAGGCAGGAACAGGGTCATGTGAAAGGTTACTTTTAAGATTTCGGGGGCCTCAATATAGGAACCCAGGCAAAGATGGTGAAGAAATAATAGAGGATAGAAAGAACAGTGGATAAGGAACAAGGTCTAGATGGTGTGGGCAGGGAGAGAGAAACCTCAGTTTTTCTATATGGAAACTGAGCCTAATGAATTCTCAATCTGACTTTTTTTTTTCCCACAACAGATAGCTTATATTATAAACAGGAACTAAAATGAATACTTAAAATGTAACTAGGTGAGAAGATTGTACTCATGATTAAGAGGTTCCCAAGGCAATATGTATTGATAAAATAGCAAGTCAATCTTCATTGTATCTTTAGCCCACACTACAAAATTGTCTGCAGTTCAAGAACAAAATAGTAGATTTGTTAAATTACATTCAATAAATCTCAATTTAGCTCCCCTATTGAGTTCAAGTACACAAGGTGATTCAAAAGCAATACAAGGTATTTTTTTTCCTGCCTTCAAAGTAATTTAATTGCGAAGAAAAATATATATGAAATAAAATAATATAGAGATTAATATAGGTAAGCACAAAAATAGGCATAAAAAATAAAAGGGATATAAATTGCAGAAGAAAGGAAGTGACTTCAGTTCATTTGGAAAAAAAGACATTCTCTTCTTGGTAACAGTTTTTTTTCTCATTGTTTATATTGCTTTTAACAAACATGTTCCTTCAGAAATTCTTAGAAATGTGATAAGAAGCTATTTCTTTTAGTTACAAGGTCTCTGTCATTATTTGTAGATAAAAGTCACTATTTGTAGTCTAAGCTCCTAGTCCCTTCAAGAGCTTTGAAATATTTGTATTTTAAGCCCTTCAAGGCAATGGCTCCCAGGAAGATAAAGCCATTGATACAGAAAGAATGTCATGTCTAACATTTCCCCCAAGTCCTTCGGTGAAGTTAAGAAGCAAAATTCCTGTTAGTGTTGGCAGAACCTACTGGGTGAATCATAACGTTAGCTTAATAGTCTTATGACATTTTATGTAAGACTACTGTGAAAATTATTGAAATGAACTTTATAATCATTTCATGCATCTGCCATATTTAAATTGTTATGTAAAGTATTATGTAAGCATCATTAATTCAACATACATTTGTTGAGAATATTCTGTAGAAAAGGTATTGTGTCAGGCACTGGTTGGGGCAGAGGATGGGAAGATTAATAAAGCACAGTAGATATAACCAGGATTCATTTATCTGAGTCTTTAACTAGCCTGTGTGTGTTCATGTGTACATGAAGATGGAAAAACTTAAATACAGCTGAAACTTCAAAAAGATATATGAGTATTTGAGAAAAAAAGTGTGGAAATAAATGTAATGAAATCAAATTACATATATATGCAGATTAATAGTGGTTTTTCTGTTTTTTATCACTAAATCTCTTTAGAAGTATAGGAAACTACTTTGAGCTTCCTCCATTCTTTCAAAATTATGATGTAGTACTGTGTAATTATTTTTTTAATTTATAAGTATCTATAAAAGATTAGAAAATTGTAATAAACTATTTTAGGGGATAAATGAAAGAAATACAATGGTAAAAGGGCAGAACACCACAGTCCTTTATTTTTAAGTAACTAAACTCATATTCTACTCCCTCATGGGTGCATTTCGTCTTCTCTTCCTTTTCTGCAGATTAAATCCCTGAAAATATTAGGTTGCTTACATTTTTAGTAACACAAATAAATAACTAAAAATCTTGCCAGTAGTAATTGGTAAAATGCATAGTCATGCAAATGGTGGCTAGACGGAATGTGAAGTAATGCGAATAAAAAGCTATTTGATATAAAGTACTGATTATTGTAATTATTCAATTTTAAATATATCCATTAGTTTTTATTACCAGTATTTACTGAAACATGTGTTAGTTTAAATATCTTTTAAAATACTTTACCTAATTTCTGAGAAATTATTTTCATCTTATGGATGAACATGAATAGCCATCTTCAGAGATATTTTATCATGGCAGTATGTAACAGTCATTATCACCAATATTATTAACACGATTACAGACATCCATTGCTATTTCATGTTGTATGAATTAGATAAAATATATTAATAGTGATCATTCTAAGTGTTCTCAGAATCAGTCATTATCTGGACTGGGTTTCACAGAAGTTAGCTGAGGTCTGGGACATAACACTTAATTTTGTAATTAAGAGAAAAAGAGAGAGAATGAGAGAAAAAGAGAGAGAGAAGCAAGTAACAGTAAACTGCCAACTTAACTGCCTTTTCTGGAAGGTCTAATTCACAGGTGTCAGCAGTTCTGTATCGCTGTCTCCCAGACACATGATGTCTATTTGCATTTCATGCCTTTGCCCACCTCCGCTCAGTGGATCTCCAGCCTGTGGTGCCTTCCTTGCTCCCTTCTGCCTCTCTGCAGGATAGCCATCGCTCGAGACTCATCTCTATTCCTGCATCGTCTAATTCTAGCTTTGGCTAGTGTGAGCTCCTTAAAATGCATAAGCCTTGATCCCTTTACTACTTCTCTGCCAAAAATACATGACCTTGTAACATCCCTTTTATTATATTTCTGGGCTGTTATTAAAGTTTGCTGGCATAATTTAACCTCCTCAGTGCCTTGTCTTCCAATCAGATCAGTGCTTATCAGTGGAAGGGATACCAGCCCAGCCCATAGGAGACATTTGGAAAATGCTACAAATGATTGAGGCATTTCTCAAACTCTACTGGCATTTGGTAGGGAAGGACCTGGAGGAATGACATATGTCCTGTAATGTGTCCTGCATAATGGAAAATTACCCATGTCTTATGCAAATAATAGC